GTGCCGGCTTGTCGCGCATCCCCTGCCGAACTCTGCGGCGCCTCAGGGCTCGGCGCACCCCCGCACGCACGCCCCTCGGCCCGCGGCGCCCAACTGCTGCGTAGGCAGCTGCGGCACCCTCAACGACCCAGCGCCCACAGCACGTCGCGATGCACTCATCGTCCCCCACCCACCCCTGCTGCCTTCGCTCCGTTCCCCTGCCGCTGGCGTCTGCCGCAGGCGGCCGCATCTTTGAGGCCACGGCCGGCAACACGGGCCTCGCGCTGGCGCTGGTCGCGGCGCGGCGCGGGTACCGGCTGACAGTCGTGGTGCCTGACAAGATGAGCGACGAGAAGATCGCCTCGCTGCGCAGCATGGGCGCGGAGGTGGGTGTTTTGTTTCTTGTTGGGGCGCGGAGGTGGGCGTTATGTTTTTTGGGGGGCGTGGGGGCGGGAAGGAAGGGAAAGACACACAGGCAGAATGGCCAAGGGGGAACAAGCGAGGGAGGGCGTAACATTTCACAGGCCTTTACAAAGGCAGGCGGAGGGAGAAGGAGCAAACGAAATGAAGAAGGGTCTGCGGGGGGAGTTGCAGTAGGGGTGAAAAAATGGTGCAGGGTTCCCCTGGTGGTGCGCCGCATTTCTGGCTGCAGGCCAAGGCCGAAAGCCTGTGGGGCTGGCTCGCGCGCCGGAGCCGCACGATGTTGGCTGTATTGGGATCCATCCATTTCGCGTCATGAGCGTTGCGACGAGAAGAGGGAACGACGGGCGCTGCGTTGACATGGGTCGCATGCGCACATGCGTACAACCACGCGCACACACACGTGCGCGCACAAACACACAGACACACAGACACACACACGCACACGCACACCCACGGGCACATGCCAACATCCTCCTGCATCCCCATGTCCACCCCCATGTACCCTAGGTTGTGCTGACCAGGAGCGACGTCGGGAAGGTGAGGGGTTAGGCCACACCACTGCCGCGGCGGCAAGGCTGGCTTGCCTCTGGAGCAGACAGCGGTCCGGGCCCGGTTGCCGTCGGGATTTGACGCCGCCAATGAGTGCAATAGGACGACTGCTTGAATCTGGACGGCGGCCGGAACTGGGCTGAACCTGCAAGTGCGCGCCATTCCCCCCCTGGCTTCAAGCACGCCCTTTGCCACTTGCACGCAGTGTCGCACTCCACGCGCGCATGCACCTCACCCTGCGTCACCCTGCGTCACCCCGCATCACCCAGCGTCACCCCGTGTAACCCTGCGTCACCAGGGTCACCCCGAGTACTACCAGGACCTGGCAGAGCGCCTGGCCAGGGAGGCACAGGAGGAGACCGGGGAACCGGCGGTGTTCATCAACCAGTTTGCAAACCCGGCCAACCCCGCGGCGCACTTCGAGGGCACCGGGCCGGAGATCTGGTGAGGCGGGCTGGGTGGGGCGAGGGGTCAGGATTGATCGAGAGGGGCGTGCAGGCGTGCCTGTAGAGGCACTACGGCAGGGGCTTGCATCGGCGAACGCTGCCGGGGCTCGCCCGCTGGGCGACTTTTGACTGGCTCTGATCTTGCTATAATCCAACGGAGGGTCCAAATTTCTGAAGGGGTCCTCCTATGTCTGGGGCGTGCTTAGCTGGCTATTGCGGATGTCAGTTTGGCCTTATTGTTTGGCCTTATTGTTTGGCCTTCTATCTGCAGCCCCCTCCGACCTCGGCCCCTCCGGCCGGCACCAACATCCCCCCGCCCCGCCGCCCTTACAGGCAGCAGATGGGCGGCCGCGTCGACGCCTTTGTCGCCGGCGTCGGCTCCGGCGGCACGCTCGCCGGCGTCGGCGCATTCCTGCGCGCCCGCAACCCCGCCGTCGAGCTCGTCCTCGCGGACCCGGACGGCTCGATCCTCGCGCCGCTCGTGAAGTCGGGGTCCTGCGGCGCCGCGGGCTCGTGGCTGGTCGAAGGCATCGGCGAGGACTTCGTGCCCTCGAACCTGGACCTGAAAATCGTGTCGTCCGCATACACAGTGTCGGACGCCGAGGCGTTTGCAGCTGCCCGGCAGCTGCTGCTGCTGGAGGGCGTGCTCGCGGGCGGCAGCGCGGGCGCGCTGCTGGCCGCGGCGCTGCGGTACTGCCGGGAGCAGACGGCGCCGAAGCGGGTGGTGACCATCGTGTGCGACGCGGGCAGCAGGTGCGGGCGCGCCGGGCCGCCGCTCGGGACGCGTTTGGGTGGCGTTTTGTGTGCTTCTGTGTGGGGTCGGTCACCCCCACCCCCATCCCCACCTTCATCCTCCCCCCGGGGGGGAGGCTCCGACTCCACCCGTCCACCTCAAAACAAACCCCTCCGAATCGGCTCTGACGCTCCGCCGACCACGCCGCTCCGGAGCCCCTGCCCATCCACGTCAACCCCCCCCCCCCCC